CGTCCATCTATCTATGATCTAAGAACGCTTTGAGACGTTTACCTAACGAGATTAACAGTTTAGACTCAGTCTAACCTAGGATTTTGTGTGTTTCCTGCCTTGTTCTTCTCACGAGGTAGCCTATTTTACTATTTATAACCTGACATTTTCCTACCCACAGGATCTGCTTTGGCGTTTTTGAGATAACTTGCCCTCTTTCTGCTCTGCAAGGTCGTCCTATTAAGGTTCACCGCAAATACACTATGCGTCTTAGTTTCATTAATATATTCCGACTTTCAGCCTCTTTTTCATAATGTAAGTCGGAATATAGATAATGCTACTCACAATTATTTTATTACCAACGCTTCTGTTTTTTTAAGCTGCGTTTAATTCATTATCGTATAGAAGCGGATTATTTCGAATTACCAACCCAACCCTTGATTAGCAACGTACAGACCGTTAAATCCTCGAGTCTGCTGCTGCTGCTGCTGCTTAGGAATTATATTGGTATTCTCGCTTCTATGTAGTAGTTCTTAAGAGAAGCTATCGATTCTCAAATTCTTTTGAATTTTGGATTGAAAACCATGTGTAATCCAAAGAGGAGTACGCCTCGAAAAACGGTTCAAAAAAAACACTGGAATTGGTCAATTATGCAACTAAAAGCGGTTATATTCTGGCTAAAATTGTGATCTTCAATAATTAAACCTGGTATTATCATCTTGTGGATTAGATAAATGGCGATACTGAAGAATACTAAATGATTGTTTAAAAGCGATACGTGTATACTGCATCTGTCAGCGGCCACCATTATACTTTATATTTATTTGGTAACGACTGGCTTCATGGCATAACGCTGTTGATATTGTTCACACACCAGGACATTATGGCGTCCTTAATGGGTCGAATATAGCAACTCGTTTAACGAGTACGGAAAGGAGTGATAATGAAATATCTAATTTCGTTATCACTCCTTTCCGTACTTCTAGGACTTTTAGGCATTTAACTCTGTCTAATCCATAGTTACAGCGAGGAATGAAGCGCATGGAACCGAAAATATCAGAACAAAAATAATTCCTTATACGATAAAAATTACATTACTTTCAGTGCCCCTACAATATTGATCGCATTTTTAGGGTAAACCGTACTTGCAGTTTAGACAACAATAGAAAGCTACAACATTTAACCTGCAGCGAAATATATCGTATTGTAGAAACGTAAAACGGGCCGGAGGGCAGCATCACGAAGTCCAGATGCCAATATTCCGTCTGCATAATCGTCACCTCCATACATATGTAGTGGCAGTTATCTGACGGTGAGAAATTTTGTCCCTCCTTTGTAGAAGAGCGAGTGTTAGACGTGTGGAATCAACAATCACGAAGATAAACCTCCCTTAAGAAACAAACCTATCTCCCGAACTTACGGTGCATTTTGCAGACTCTTGCGACAGCGGCATGCGCTATGAAGCTGAAACGAAGATTGAAGATAACATCTAGCGTGGCACAATAACTAAGTAAGCAGAACGAGCAACATCGACGATAGTTACAACAGGTAACAGGCAGATATTACACAGGCGGATCAACCTTCTACTCAAAGAAAACGGCTCGACTACGATTTATGTCATATTAGGTCGGTTAAATGATATTCTCTATCAATTTTTTCCTTGCATCTCCTATACAAATCATCAGCATTTATGTTTAGGTTCAAGTTTTCGTACCTTACTTTTTTCTAGAGCGGCCGCATAACGCTGCAGACGGAAACACACTAGTTATATATTCACTATATGTGGAATATTGTAGGAAACAGGCATCTGGTTATAACAGTGAATTGGCTACGGGAGCTGTGCTTGTAAAATCCAATCAAAATTAGTACACCTTGAGATATAAACTACTTATTTCGCAAAATACAAGTACGCATATGCCAGCGGTGTTCAGGAACTCTACAGAATTCACTAAATCTAAACATTTCTGTAATTTTTAGCCTTTTATACTCATTTGTGCAACTCATAAATGCCATTATTCGAATATTACAAACGAGTTTCGAAAAAAAAAACACAGATCTCTTTGCATATGAATGAACCCCGTAGACTTATTTGTTTGAGCATTATCAAATTGTATGCCTAAATCAAACTAAAGACAATACGTACAAATAAACGTTCGCGATCACTGTCACAACACGAATCTCCTTTACTATGGGGCGAGGTGCCTGCTTTTTTCATCCGTCGAACCTCGATTTTGTCTTTAGGAGAAGACTGCTGGATGCTGTAAAGCATCCGTATTGTATTTTGGTTCGTACGTACAAGCATATAATATAGATTAGAAGATGCCATGGACAGTGACCATCGATTTGTGGTACTTAAAAAAAGTTGTATCTTATTCATATGGCTTACCTTCTAATTACGCCAGTGGGACTTCTGGTTTTAATTAGAAAGAACGTTGCTTCACAACCTTACTTCGAAAAGTATCCAGTATAACTTCGAAACGAGTAAGTACCTTTGTCATAGCTAGTTTTATTCAAAATTGAAGAAATCGCTAAAAACATACCGTCTATATTGTCATCGATTATACATCTTGGTCGGTAGGATGATTTGAGGGAGTAACTGACAAAAGACGAAAGAACTGTGTTATGATCTGATCTGGCTCGCTTTAATCTCACGCAAATCCGCAGGCACCAAAAGCTACGCTCGAGTCTTCCAGTCAGACCATAGCTAGAAGAAATAATTACGTAAAAGGCGCTCTGTGTACGTGTTAAGTAGAATACCTTCGTACATTAACTTGTTTGATTTGTCCCGTCCCCAAGTTTATATGCGCGACCTTTGTTGCGCATCCGCCTGTAAAGCAACATTCATGGAAGTCTATCTGCTTACAACGTCTATCTTAACAAAGCAATAACTCCATTTATGTGCTATAGTACTTACATGCGCATGGGCGCGTTGAAGCCTAACGAAACGGAAATTAGGAATGATTAAAAATCGAACAGAATATGAAATCTGTAAGCGAAACTATCAAACGCCTAGTAGATGTGAATTTTTTTGTGTTGTATCCTTCAACACTAAACGTAATTCAAGTATGGCGGAATGGCCTCGTTTCATCTTCCATACAGAACCGCTAGCAGCGGCAGCAGAGTGAGAGGTAAAAAACACCAGATACATTCTGAATATATGCACGCTTCCAGGGCATAAGTAGATACATTTTTTTACTAGGCGCTAATAGAAGTAAATAGAGGTTGGTTGCTTTGTAACACTGAAGTTTCGGGATTGCAATAAACTGTTGACTATGTGGAGTGCACCATTATTTCATAGTTAAGTTGAGGTGGCCCAGTAGCGTCACGAAGCCCCGAGGGCATAACAATAAAAGAAAAAACTAATTGTATGTTAGTCGCTAAGAGCTTGCGATGTTACTTGAGGTAATACAGACATGCTGCGCAAATTTATCGCAATTTTTAGAGAAGAGTGACACTGAAACGTGTCTATACGTAGATATTTGAGGTGTTAGAAATATATTTTAGTTCAGATGAGTTTTGTGGTGTTGGTCATTTGAGGCATGAGCTCTTTAACATTAACATAAGTTGTGCAAACGTATTTCGTAAAGCTGCAAAAAGTTTTGCCGTAAGTTTTTCCGATGGCTATATTGTAGGGCTGGTGTATAGCCGTCTTCGCATAACAATGACCTTCAGAAGGCAACTGCCGTTTCCTTGCACGACATAGAATGAATCTTAACATTCATTATCATTTAAACGAACGTCTGCTAATTATGTAAAATTTTAATTATAGGTACGGGTCGCCTTTTGAATTATATGGCGTTAACCATTCAGTACATCTTTGAATGAGCCCTTGAGGTTATGATGGATTGTTTCCAGGGAAGATAGTGTATAATAACAATCTAGCCTTCAACTGGCTTGCAGATAATTATTAAACGATACGATATCATTGCTCCATATCACACAGCCCTAACAGGACGATTCATAAAAATGCGGCCTGTATTGTCTGCTTGTGTCCTGTTGATTGGCTAATGGTGAGGCAAAGGTTGATAGAATTGGGTGTCTGAATGACATATCTAGTTACAAAGTAATATTAGACATGGTTGTGATCCTGTATGAATCATAGCCCCACATCACTCGATCTATGGGAAGTTGCCGAAGGCACCCGAGTGTGACAAGCTTGATATGGATAGATCTGTCCCCTCTAACTGCTGTTGCTGATGGAGCGACATTTAGCAGTATTGCTTTATGGCTGTCTTTGAGGATTATTGTTAAGAGCGACGACCCTGGGAGCTTATTTTGTTTTGCTATGAGCGCTTACAAGCGTGTAGATGGTGGGCACATGTGGAGCGGTTTTGTTCCGTTGGCACAGGGCAAAAACAAAAGCAGACGTGCCTGATGTCGATGTGCCTGTATCCGATAGTTCTGCACCCTTTCCATGACATCGTCGTGAACGGATAAAGCATCAAAAAAAAAAATCAACAACAATAAAGTGATCGAACGATACGGCCGTCACAGAAACTAGACATCCCGGGCTACGTTTTGTTCACAGCCAATGCGCTTCTGTTCCGAACGTTTTGCAAATGGCAGTGACCATGCCGACGTCAGCATTGACGTTGATGAATGCGGTCACGACGCTAGTTGAAGCTGATATCTTTCTCGCGATTACGTCTAAATAGCGTTTGGCTACCGACAGCAAAAGGGACTACAGAAACGAATAAAGGAGGCTTAGATCACGGCAGGCGGCGGTGTAGGGCAAAATATAACAGCAATAGAGAGCACTTGATAAAAGCCTAGATATTCGAAAAGCTACTTTGCGAAATAATTTAGACAGTTGGCAAGTCAAGCTACCACCACAATGAAGACGCGTAAGTGTGAAACGATAGTAAACGTAAACAATAACGCCTGAAACGCTTCTGCCGAATTGTCAAGACAACATGATAAATTTATATACCACTTGGTTCGTTTAGCCACTTATGCAACGCTTCAACTAGAACACAAGACAGGCTATAGAATACTACAGTAATCTTTATTAATTTTTTTTTTCAGATATCCATTTTTGTATGTGTGTATCGTAAGACAAGACCTTAAATAGTTATTCAGACTGGAATAGGTTGTGACTGACGTTCAGTTCAATGATATCATAATCAGGTCAACTTTCGTTCGCTCATCGTAGATAATGGCACTAAATGAGGAGCACCGCTGTGAGGAACACTATTGTACACCCAAGTGCGCCTATAGTGTGCTGTGACAATAGGATCCTCCCTACTCTCCGTACCGATGGCCAAGCATTATTAGACAGACAAGAACTCTGGCCGCTTCTTCTGTTCCCTGTTGGCGGAAGAGTAAAAGCTTCCGTGCGCGAATCTTAGCCGAACGATCTTTTTCATGAGATCATGATCGGCGAACAAGCGGCAGCTCTGTCAGGTAGAAAAGTACCATACTATGACGAGTGTCTGACGGCAGGCAATGCATCTCTCCGTTGTAGTCAGCGCTATCACAGATGATTTCGTCGTATCTATTTCAGCAAAACGGTTCTGACGTTTCGGACATTAAAACCCATAGCGTCACTGCTCAAGTCTAAAAACACACTGTCTGGGTAGGTATCGATCTGTCGTCTATAGTTAATTACTGTCATTCAATATAGTAAAGAGACAGTATCAGTTTAATACATTTCGCTATTGAAGGCAAAGACGTTTGATGCTATCGATAAGGATAATTCAGCATTGGGCGTATACCCATAGCGATAAACATCAGCGGCATCACGAAGCGCGATGAAGGGGTGGCGCACGACAAACTATTACAACTTGTAAGTCTCTGTCTGATGTTCACACGATTCGTTCACACGGGAAATCTGCAGTGCTCTGTACATCAAGAAACAATGGCTGGAAATCAGCCGCAATAGATTTCGCATGCCTCCGCTTTTATTTCTTACTCTTGCTTAGCCGATAGCTCTACTTGGGGAGAAGTTTTTCTGCTGCCAGCCATTGCGCTGTTAATGAGGTCGTTATTGCGGCTGGTACCGTGACGTTTTTCTGTTTAGCCTAGCTCTCCTTATTATTTATTTCAACTTATTATCTTGTGTTCTGCCCACAGGTGACCGGCTATACATGATGGCCACCAATTATCACAACGAGATACCATCAAATCAGACACTGACTAGAAACAAATCATCTCGTGCTGCCGCCATAGTGGTTGATTTTTCCAAGGGAAAGACATCAAAGCAGCCTGTTCGGATACTCGATACAGTCTCGGCGCCCCATGGTTTCATTACTGTGTCATAAGAACAGACGTAATAATTGAAATCAGTTAAGGATCGAGTCTATTTCACCAACTGGAGTTCATGCCTCAGCCGTTCTAGTAGTCACTACTAAGTAACTACTTACCGCCGCTGGCGTTATCGTCGCGGCTTCTCCTTTCCCTATTTACGTATTGAACTTGACTTTGTGACATCTCCATCAATCGGCACAAAGTTCTTTCAGCCACGTGTCAGTAAGCGTGTACACGTCGCGCTTGTCACTTGTCGCGGCCGTTTGTGTTGTCAATATTGGTATGGATAAGAGATGCGGAAACGACAATCTTAGGTTAGTGTCAAAATTGACGATTTGTCATTTCAGTTTATCTATCGTCTGTTGAACAGATCGTATCAGCTGTCGAGGGCGTTACATTGCATAATTAAGACCAAGATTCTAGTAAAAAGCATTAATCGTAACCGAAAAAACTACCCACACATATATTGAGCGTTTTCACATATAGGACAACCGGGACACCTATCAACATTTTTACTCATACTAACGTTGAGGGAATAGCCCGTTAAAAGTGGCGTAGCATAGAATAGCAAAACAGAAGTTTGATGCGTAAAAGTATAATTCAATCTATCCGTCTAACACCTAGCCAGCCGAAAATAAAAAAAAAAAAAAAAAAAAAAAAAGGTGCAGGAAGGTGGCAGGCCAAGCTGAAAATTCTGCCTCGACAGCCCCTAGTCTTCATGCGTTTCGACTGTAATCATCATTGACGTTTCCGTAAAGCCGCGTTCTAAATAACGTTTACCTTCTGACTACTTCCCTGAGATTTTGAAAGTGTGCCTTGTGCGTGCTTAAGCACGAATAGTTGGACAACTAGGATCGACTTTAGAGGAGTATGTTAACCTGTTTAGCTGAAATACTCGTTTCAAGCAGGTCGAACTGAGTGACAGCAGCTTTTATCAGCTACGGTAACATTACGAGTACTTTTACTGACGCTAGAACGTGATTCCGAAGTGCACAGTGAGACAGTAGGAGCGAAACAATGATATGGTCATGAACTTTAAGTATAATCTTTTATAAGTAAGTAGGAGCAGGCTATCGGTCTTCAACGCGTTAAGCTAGTGGCGAACGACTGCTAGTTCCCTTACATAGGTCAAGTCAGCAGAAATTCCTTCAGGAGTGAGTTGTCCTGAATTGGCTTCCGCCTCTCAACTGGATGGATATCGGCTAGCTTTACGGTGTGTCGGTAAGGGATGTCGAGAAAACAGAATAGGCTAGTATTTCTACGTCGCCGGCCGCGAACGTACGTGAACGAAGCTCATTAGACAGGCCGTGTAAATATAGCATTCCAAAATGCTTAGCCTTATAGGAACCTTGCGAGGTTTACTGAAGATCAAGCCGGTGCATATTGATGGAATGATGTTTAGGCTTCACCATGGACCGACTGTGGTGCTTTTACTCGCGTTTTCTGTGCTCATTACGACGAAACAGTATTTCGGTAAGTATTCATAAACAAATTAGATGAACGTTTCGTACGTTTGTTGATTTGATGTAACTCTAATTAATAATGTTTTCTATTGTCGTATCTGAATTGTTACATACCTGCTTGGTTCATTTCATAATAAACATGCCTGTCTCCTTTCCAATATTTTCCGCGTATCTACTACGCGCCACATGAACCAGTCACATGTCAAAGCTGTTTCGGCACTGTCACTTCCGACGTCCACAGTCTCCTAGAATAAAAATAGTAATTATCATTGTAATAATAATTATCGTTATAATAATTTTCGTGAATATGCTCTGAAGTGCTACGATGGCAGTGCATCTCAAGTCGATGCACAGACCACAAAGTCACTTACTGTTCTACTAACTTTTCGCCAAGAACTCGACACGAAATTAGTACGGCGACATCTTTTACCGTCCCTTTGTTCACTGATGAAAACGTAGCAAAGTTTCTTAAGTTTCTAGTTCTACGTCGACAATCGCTATTAGGTATAGTTCGATCAGAGAGACGGCTGGCTCCTAGCACAAAACGATGTTTGTCTATGGGTTCGAACCTAGCTCACTACGTGTCCCTAATATTGTCAAGCGGATACGTTACCCACTATGCTACCATGGGAATGAGCGGTCCTAATTCTAGCGTCCTCAAAAACGCCGTATCTATGTGTTCGAGTGTTTTAATCGCATGACGTGCTACACAGGTAATTCTAACCTAAAATAAATTCTCGGTACTGTCACAGATAAAACACTTTTGTTTTTCATCAAAAATTCAATGGCGTTCTTAAGTACTACGTCGTTCATCTATGACCATATATAAGCCGGTTGATAATAACAATTAGCAAATAAATATCACCTATAAATCACATACAAGTACTTAGCTTATCGAACTATTTGTTCATGCAATTCAAGAGTATTTGGTGGAATTATATGTTCGTGTTAGACGAGATTTTATACTTAGTATGGAAGCGTCATTATTATGTACCTCGTTACGTACACTGCCAACGCATTCTTTTCTTATATATATATATATATATATATATATATATATATATATATATATATATATGTATATATATATAAAATTTAAACGGTCGTGTTCTTAAAAGGATAATATATGACCAGCCAGCTTGCCAAATCGCAGCCACCTTAACATATGAACGTATGCGTGTGTATATTTCTAAGCACCTATTTTTCAATGCGTTCTAGTTATTTACGTTTTGATGTTTATTCGTATCGCAGGTTGCTTATGCAACGCACTTCCTTAGAAATTACAGTTCGGCTCTCGTAATGCACTGTATGCCCGTTAGGGGATTCGAGTAGGGTCCATAGGTTCACCCATATGACAATATACGAAATAATGGGAACACTTAAAATACATTTAAGGCATTCATGTGCGACTAAATACTAAATAATAAAGGAATTGCCTCTTAGGCCTGATGAGACTGTGCAGCACTGTCCAGGTACCTTGGTCCTACCGTTCAGGGGGGGACAATAAGGAGGTTTTCCTTCGGTCATGGTGCATTTAGGTGCACTCTCTCTTACTGTTAACACACGAACACAGATAAATACAAATAGAAACAGAAACTTGTTGCATTAAAACTATTCACCACCGACATCTTTGTTACTTAGACGTTTCGCAAAGCAACAAACAATGGCCGTTTCGGGAAGCGGATAGGGCGCCACCAGACAAACTTGTCGATCACGCAAACCCTCAATCACTAGCCCCTCCCGCATCTCCCTCGCTTATTTCTATTGTAGTACTTTTATAAGGCCGATATTACATGAACATCACTGGTGCGTTAGTGCGTCTCGTTTGTTTTCCGTTCGTTTCGATCAGGCCAAAACGCTGAACTACTCGGACGTCGAATTGCCCTCTATGAAGCACAGACTGCACAGTGATCGGCACAATTGTGCTGCTTGACGCTGTCATAACTGCATATTCATTGATTATCGGAAAGTCCTCTACGTACCTTTATCACTGCAGGAACAGTGAAAAAACCTGGCAGGTTATTTACAGTTAGACGACACTGTAAAGCCAATAAGATGAGCTAAATTCTCATAGCTTTAATGTCCCTATCAAATAAAAAAAATTTCGTACTTGTTTTTAGAAAATATATATATATATATATATATATATGACCAAGTGGATCTAAAAGTGATCGCAGAGTCTCTGAATGTTCGCATAGCTAAATCTCTGCATATGCGTCTTAGGTAAATATGCATTTGTAACGATTTAAGACAAAATATGTATTATAAAGGAATAAAAGATTCGGATTAATAGATAATATCTTATGTATCGAAAATTCGGCGGGCAAATTTAGGCGACCCGATCGATTGCGACGTATCGGGAGGAGCTTCGAAATCTTTAATCAACGTGTACTGCTGGATTCATGCGACGTACTCCGTGAATTCCTTATTTCGAAAAGCTGATGGAATCGAGGTTGTGTATCCTGGCGTAGGCACCTGGAAGGGTTCTCCTCCAAAATATGGCAACCAAGAAGGGGAATACAAATTTCATAAATACTACCAGTGGGTGTCACTTATGCTATTCTTTCAGGTAAGAGTAAAAAAGCAAACCGTTTCGTTAATATCTAATATTCTAAAAATTCATGACTAGCTACCGAATAACTACGGAAGCTTTGGGTCGTGTGCGAATGGCTTCTCCACCTCTAACGAATCTGTCCGTTGCAAAATATTAGACGAAGTCACTTGACGCTAGATAGATACGGTTATATGCATTAATACTTCATAAAAAACGTTCAAGAAAACCTTTGCCAGGTTCCATTTGTGCCAGCTGATTTTTAACGTGGTCACTTTGTTTGTCGTTTAGGGCTGTACTGAGGTTCATGTAGTTATTTTCTGCTTTAAAAAATAATGTCTACTTAGGGGTACGTGTAATGACCTAGTAGTTTTATGATTGCGAATACGTCAATTTTCGAAATGGTAAACAAGGAATTCGTTGAAAGAAATAACAAAGGGGAGAAGAGGCAACGAACGGCCGATCATCGTGTCACTAAAATGAACCCCCTGCACTATAATGCGCACAATACACTTTTGAGCGCACTTTGTTTGTCCTACAATTCTCATCGTCTCAGGCAATAAACATGAAAAGATATTCAGATTCATTTTCTGTTCACTCGATTAATATGTCTTATAATGGTATTCTCTGCTGACTTATTGGCTAATGTTTAAGTTAAAATCCTCTAGACAAAACGCGTTCTTGCTTACGACTATCAGTGAGAACTCTCCGAACGCTCTTACCGAATGTTAATGGCCTTCTACATTTGATGGCATTCTTGTTAAAAGATAGGCCTTCCGGCGAGGTTGTTCCGACGCGGGACAAACAGCATCATTACCATTCATTTAAAAAACAGGCATTCGTGTATATTTGCCCCTGTATGCTATGCCGCACAGTATTATCATTGCCATTCATTAACACGATGTAGCCACCAACAGGTATTTTTACGTATCTAAGTAATAATTTGTCTCACTTCAGCGTTATTTCGAATGCAAAATCAGTGGCCTTGTTATGTTTCAAACTGCGACCTTCGTATAAAGTAGTATTTATGTAACGACTAAAGCGTCACCTGACTTTGAACCATAATGCCATATGCACCTTTAATTGGAACCGCGCAATCCCTGTAGGGCTGTCCTGATACGGCGGAAATCTTTCCATGCTTGATGCTTCCTATCAGCGTTGCGAGGTCCGATTTGCCCCGGTTCCCGGCTGGCCCAACGGCGATTACCAGCTAGCCCGTAACGAATCGCATAAGCATCCAAGAGGAAGCGGGGACTGCCTCGAATTTCATAACTGAGCAAACATTTCTTCTATGACAAACATTTATTAAATTGCACATACTGTTTCGACATTTATGTCGAGAGATGGCGCTATAGTAAACGGCAAGGGGTAGAAATTTTGCCACCTCGTTGCATATCATTTTTAGCTGGGTCAGAAGTTTCTATTTCTAATTTAGGTTCGAACTAGCAGGCATATTAGAGCCTGCTACCGTGTCGTTTGAGTTGCGCTGGCGTGAGCGTTATACTACTACAAATATCGTATCATTAACAAAATTCCAGGACAGATAGCACTTAATCGGTTTTGAAATTATTATATATATATATATAATATGTTATATTAATCATTGAATAAATGTAATCTCACATCTATTGACTCTTAAATGATCAAGGACTTTTCGGTTTTTGACAATCAACAATGTTTCTGGAAAAAATGGAAGATTTGCTGTTTTCATGTCTGCATCGATCTTTCCATAGATACTTATTTAACAAATGCAGATCATCAATTAAGTGCTATGACCCTTGTCTTAGCTGACCACTAGGCACAGGAGCTACCTAAGGCACAGGTGTTAACTGCAGACAAGTTGAATAGCTGAGATAAAATAAGTTGTCGATATTATTATTATATATGAAGTGATCGTATGAAGTATATGTTCCGAGTAGGTCGAAGCTGATGACATTGAATCTTTTACTCAACATTTACCTTAAGCCGTGTTGCTCGCACCATAAAGCATATTTTTTAAAAGGCACGATCTCATTGGGCTATGCTTGAAATTGAGTGCTAGGACGGTTGAACTCAACGATTAGAGTTAGGGAGATATATTTCAAACATTTACAAAATAAGCAATTTCAACTTGAAATTGCTTAGGTCTTTTCTGGATATAGTGGAACAATATTATTCACTATTTCAAAATCGTCCGATTAGAAGGTTTCAAAATAATATGTACATTGTCTCATCGATGAACGAACTACGAGTGCTCCCTGATCTAGCTGGCGTGAAGAGATCGACTAAAACTCCTATGGGAACATTAAGAGCACTAGGCGTATACAGTTTGTCAAACAATTGAGACGGTAAGCCGACAAGAATCGACGTTGAGTACTGCAGCTCCTAAGAAGACAGACGAATGCTATTGTAAAACGTTGTATGCATTCGTTCAGAAGACTATTTTAATAAAAGTTTTTTTTTTTTTCGATGAATCTAAGTGTAGATATATTACAAGTGGAGATCGAAGTAAGTATTTTTTTTTTTTTTTTACCAGAAATATGCAGTGCAGTACGCCACAGTGGCCGAACTTGTAGAACGTGCTGACACAAGGATACTGACCCGATCTGTAACTGATGTTTAAGTGGGCATCATAGCAGCGGCTCGAACGTGTCTGCCGTGTGACAAATTCCCACGCTGAACTCCGGCCTGATGAGTATACTAGTAAGAAGCGAGCACTAGCATTGAGGCTTTGTTTGAACAAGCCCATACTTAATAGTGGGATTCCCTATATATTAGAAATTACAAATTACTGCGAGAATATTAAAACTGGAAGTTGAAATTTTCGAAAAAAAATCCTTTTGCATTTATCCTAAACGAAGCAAGCAAAAACAAAGCTACCAATATCGCCCTACAACTTCATTCGTATCCTATAACGGGCAGTACATGGCACAATTTTAATCCTAATTTAGTACTAAAAATTGTTTGAGTAGTTGACAAACTTACCATCACCATTGCACCGGTATTTCAAATCTTTGGCTCGATCCAATCGCTGTGCACCCCTACCTGTGTCTCAACTATGCGCGCACAAATAGTTACTGCTGCTGCTGCCGCCGCCTTAGCGTAACAGCGTTTGCGACTGATTCCTTGCATTTTTTTGCCGCCGTCGGCTCTTTGCATCACTGACTATGTTTGACGCAAGAGGTGTATGACACTACCGATATCCATGGAGTGCGCGGCTCGTGTTGGGGCGGCCCAAAATCGGAACACGAGAAAAGTGGGTTTTTTGCGCAGGGAACAGTGAAACCTTTTTAACACCATCACCCTTACAAGGAAGCTGTTGCAGTGACGGTGTCAGCGATTGCAGGATCAGGGAACGATGACAAGCGTGGTATCAGTCCGGAGTCACCGTTCTTCGTTCTTTCATGCCGAGGACAAACCCTTGGACGGCAGACGAAACGAGATTCGTAACAAAACGGATGCAGCAGGCAGCATTCACTAAAAACGAAGCCAGATTGTTGTTACTATTGAGCTATACTGTCCTTACTGCTTACAGATGTATCCATTTTAATTGGGATGGCACTGTTATTGCGTAACGGTTTATGGACATAGGTGAACAATGAGACCGAAGCGTCTGGCAGCAAACGAATGTTTTGTAGAACTGGGCAGGATCGAAATCAATCAATGTAAGGACAATAACGCCGCATTCAGGACCGAAAAAGCAAACATTATGAGGGCATCTCTTTTTGGTCGAGACGTTACATCTATAAAACAAAAAAATACTTTATCGAAGCTTGTATTTTCTCTGTTCATGGAATCGCTGACTACGTAAGAGAAGTCGTGGAGATTAAATAATAGGCACGGTAGATATCTGCTCAAGGTACATAATTTATTGTTTAATCTAAAGGAAAGCAACATAACAATAAAATCTCTTCTTTTTATTGGCGAAATTAAATATGTATTAATTGCGCGAGCAGGCATCTAGCTTTTGTAAGAAAACACTATGACAATCTGTGTTATTTTACTTTGATCGCAAAAATTGTAGCTAATACTATTATGATTACGGCTATTGAAACTATACCTAAGGAGTACTGTGTTTTCTAGGCCATACTATTTTATGGACCTCGATGGATGTGGAAGGCGTGGGAGGCTCGAAGGCTAGAAAACCTTCTAGCGGAACGCGAGCCTCAGGAAACGGCCAAAGCGATTTGGGCCGGTTCTTTCTCAACTTATATGTATCGATATGCGCTTTGCGAGTTGCTATGCTTTATCAACGTGTTTGCGCAGCTATTCATGATAAACAGGCGAGTGCATCGTAAAATGAGCAATGTTTCAGTACTTATTGGAAGTCGTTGCATTTAATACACTTACTACACGGAGACATTTAGTTTGAAAAATGGGAATTCCTAATTTAATCTTATTGCTTCTACTGCTATATTCTCTTATGCACCTTCTATTCCGTAATTTAGAACTAGTCCACCATTTTGCCAGCACGCAGTCACGATTCATTCAGGCCGAATATACCGAATTTTTTTTAATGTACTGAATAATATATATATATATATATATATATATATATATATGAAAACAGAAAAATGCGCAAAAACTATTTTCTGTAAGCCATAAACTTTTGGAAAATGGACTGTGCACCAGTTTTATGTCAGAACTTTTGATTATCGGCAATCCATGTAAAAGCGCAACATCTTCCCGTTCAAATCCAGGAACCTTTTTCTGCTTCTAAGCGTATGACGAAACACTCATATTGTGACATTCACGCGGAACACCCGGAGACCGAATCGTCAGAAAGGATCATTAGGAATATTGTATCATTTATATGACAGCCAGCCGGCCTGTGTTTGATTATTTTGTACGGCTCCCGTTTTAGAGATTTTTGTGTGCGGATAATGGCATCCCGTGTATCGTCCGTTCCTTTCTCTTCTAGCGATAACTGATTAAAGCCATATATCGATAGATGATGCTTCACACCCACTCTCCATTCCATCACGAAAGTCACGCTAGGGAAGAGGCTTCATTTAATCTACGAACTCATTGTTTTAGTTATCATCTCTGTTGCGGACTTTGTTGCGTGTGTTACCTGTGATTATCCCACGTCGAACACTAGAAACGAGAAACTTTTCAAGACTAATCAAGCCTGAAAAAACATTCTCGGTTCATCCTTTGTTCGAGCTGCCCAGATGGTGGCAAATTTCCTTCATCGCTACTTGTCCTACTGTCAATGGCATGCCGCACTCAAGGTTTGCTGCCCAATCCATCTGGTCTGTTTTTTGTAAACCCCAGCTCGACATAAAGATGGCCATACCTACGATCAGCTGATAAGAAACAGAGGTGTAACCGTTTCACCCTACATGTCTTGGTTAGTGGGCGTCGTCCATCAGGGATAATTTTGATGGTCCATTTGCGGTCCGTTTTGCTATGGTTTTAGACGATACCTCTACAGATCCATGGAAAACGTACTCTGTTTATTATTGGACGCATATAACCAAACCTGGCAAGCAACAAAAAACAAAAATGGTGAGTACGGCTATTAACAGATACGTCTTTTTTTTTACAACTGAGAGATCCCAAGCAGAACGAGGCAGCCAGAAATGGCTATTTTGTTAAGGCAGAATACGGAAGTTCCGGAGCCTAGCAGACTAGAGAAACTGCGCTGGGTGGGGTTAAAAGTTAGACGGGCCTGGGTGACTCTCACTGTAGTAGAAAAAGCAGAATGAAGAAACATTATTCCACCTTACCTCCTCATGAGAAAAAGATTGAGGATCATCGATATTGAACAACAAATAAGAATTTGCCGGACAAAAGTAGGCAGACAATGGGCTGTGACTTCGCGGAAAATATCAGTATCGGCGTCTGCCTTAGAAGCTTTAGATAGCGATCAAAAAGCACACTTATTCTGCTCAAAGAAAGATGGAACTTTAATAGAACCATAGTTCTTGCAGGATACAAGAAAACACAGTTTTCTAGTATAGATTTTATGAATCTCAAGTTTCACCTTGGAATGAGACTCAATGATATCATGGATTTCTAATCAATTGCCTCTTTTCATCCAGCAGACGTTTCGAGCCTATACCAGGAACTAGTTGAAAAATAAATGGTTTTGACGCTTAGTGCTGTTGTCAGGTTGTTTGTTTATAGGCAATTAGGATAAACAAGCGATTCGATCCTGGTAGCCCATATCCGGGATAGATTTTCGTTAGTTATGGGCGATATTAGTGTTAAGAGCCTTCAATCACTACAAGAAGTGTACTATAAAATATATATTTAAGCAATTTCTAATTTATCGGATTGAGTAGGTTTCTTGATGGCGAGTTTTTCACCTTTGGCTTAGAAGTGCTCAGCTTCATGGAACAATCGCCGGAAGATAGGGTCGATCCGATGGTAAGGGTGTTTCCGCGAGTGGCCAAATGTCACTTCCATAAGTTCGGCTCGTCTGGAAACGTGGAGACACACGATGCTGTTTGCGTTCTACCGCTTAATATTATCAACGAAAAAGTAAGTCATCTGCTAGCTGTTCCAAAGTACCTAAACTTATTTATAATAAATCATATAATAGCAAATACTTGGATATTGTACTTGTATTTAGCATTGCATTAGTGGCAGACATCTACTACTATTGATATTTTGTCTACCAATCCAGCCTGCTCCTTCACCTAATCCGGCCGATCTGAAAATCAGAATATCGAGCTTCTGGGAATCAAATACATCGAAATACTCAGACTACTTATTTTCTAAGGGTAATTTTCGCTTTTTTGCTTAATAATTGCTTTCCTGTACAAGGTACGTGCACATACAGTCTGATGTGCACATTCGTCTCCGATGAGAACATTTCTTCTGAGATATTAGCTCTAATAAGGAAATAACTCCGCTACAAAAACAAAAGTACATTCAGGCCAGCTTTTGTAGACTGACGTTGTAGTGCCGAGTTGACACATCTTTTAGAACATTTCGAAATCTCAGGTTTTTGGGAAAAACCTTTCCGCATTGAATTGATTACATGAATTTGTCTAAACTATTGAAATCATACAAGGCATCACAGTGAATAGAACTAGAAAGAAAAATGTTTCCCATAACTGCCTTCCTACGATAAAGCTCGATACAGCAGCGTTGTTGCGTCGCCCCGGTATTGCCACGCGTTGGTGTGGCAACACGCCAGCACCGTACCATCCCCCGGGGCGGTGATGCGAATAAAGCCAGAGGAAGCTGAACGGAACAAATAAAAACTTACAAACATTTTTATTTGATTTATAACAAACTATATCGCGCGGTTTACCATCGACCACGAGACACTTTTATGAAGTTATTGTTATTAACCACAAAAATGCGGACTGGTACACTTAGGCGCGTTTTTACGTAATGTAGAACTATAGATGCTGATCAATGTAGACGTGACTGCAATACAGATTCGCAAAACTTATTCACAGGTGTTCCTCATCGACTGTGGCCTTATGTGATACCTAAACTGTACTAACTGAAGTGTATTTGGATAATAATTTGTAAATGCAATTCCATATGTGTCTTCCAAGGGCTATTTACCGCCAACCTCGTTCTGTTGACCATCAGCAATCTAATTAAGACCGGTGTAATTTCCGGCTGGGGCTTACCAAGGGCGGTACTATATAGGGTTGTCTTCCAGGTGCCACTGTTATTCTCGGCGTTGGACATATTTAACCTCTCGAAATGATTGGGCAAGCAAGAAAATTCAGCTTCCGTCATCTCATGTTCAGCAAAGATGCTGCACGTATATTATGCGAAAACGTCACCAAAGTAGTTGCGACAGTTCTGACTATTCTATCTTAGTTTTTGCGAATGGTACGCCTGTAGCCGGGCCTACTCAACTTTCTGCACTGACCTTTTGTTAAAATGTGACGTGTAGAACATGGCGGAATGTTTCGTGTCGGAAGGACAAAGATAGCTGAGCCGATAGGGCAGGTCAAGCATGGATCCGGGTTCGATTTGGGTTTCGACAAGACTTTTCACACACTTTGTACAAGTTCTACTTAAGCCTACGTCTTTCCATGTTCTAGACAATGTTTGCGGCGTGTTTCGGTCTTCTTCATTTTTCTAGCCATTGAGGTGACTCATGGAACTATATCGAAAAGGTATTCACCGAACACCAAAGTCGTACATCTGTGCACCAGTTGTTCCCAATATGCGGAATGTATTTGTAGTTCGAAGGCATTTCTCCCTGCGCTGGTTTAATGTTGTTCTTGTAAATTCAATACGCTAAACCTCACGCCAGTTGCTTTTGTTCTCGAGATCTCGAGAGTGCTAATTACCAACGCGGGTAACTTGTGCAGCTTTGTTCAAGATACAGACACGGTAAACAATTTTCGAATTCAATTTGCGTACAATTCACTCAATCTATTGTTTTAGAAAATTTATTTTAACCTCACGTTACATAGCAGAATAACTTCCCATTATTAATATATAATCTTAAAGGTAGCTTCTCATAAGATTCTGAAAATGAATAGGATGATAATGAAGATCCTTGAAAATTGGGACGTCTTCGTTTTACATTTGTCAGGATTTTTCGCAACACGAAATACACAAACTTCTACATCTAGAACAGCGGTGTCGTGCACCAATTCTATAATACCATGTTATAGCGTTAGTATATGTGTGAAGTGCCACACCCGTGACAGTGATTGCTATCTTATCAACAAATACTACAACAATATGTAATATGGTCGTGGCAATATAAAAATAAGCTCAGGGTGCCGCCGTCACAAATGTGCCGTATGTACTAGATCCAGTCTTTACTCCGATAATCATGTATGTCCTGCTATTTTTACATATGTGAAATGAAGATTTCTCAACTGCGACCGATGACGAGAGAGTGGGAGTTAGGGATACGAAAGAGTACGAGAGGACGCGGAAAGCGAGGGCTCCACGGTTCGCCTTTCCTGCGGATTCAAACGCACAAACATCAATACTAAGCATAATCCTTACCACCTGACAGACAGGGCCTAGCGACTACAACAGCGGTAGATACATCCTGTACTAGCTAGTAATTATCAGAGTAGGTTTATGACTAGATGAAGGCACACATGCCGGGACACATCGATTGATGCAGAAAAACAGCACAGAACTACAGTTTGTACGAATATATGGCGAGCAAATGCCGTTTGATCTGTACTTGTCGGCATACATGTATATAACATTATAACACTCGTACTCGTATATTTGTGCTTAAGGGAACCATCCTATGCAATTCTGAATAGGAAACCCACCACATTTTTGCATAGACAACTCACCATATAGCTTTCGAGTGCCAGCTACGATCTACGCATCGATTTAGCATTCACGCTTTTCTGCATTCGCATCGAATGGTTTCTTGTGTAACTCTTACAGATTTTCTCTGTATAATTACTGATAAGGAAACATCTTTTCAATGTTTAAACCTACATTGAGTGAATCCAGTGAAGTGACGCCGTTACAAACTCGTCGTTTCTATGACCGTGTCAATTTTGTTGATGCGCTAACTCGCTATAATGGCTCTATATGGTCACTATCGAAGCTCACTCCGTTTGTTGTCCTTACGTGGCTTATAAATGCGTGACTAGGGCGTGTAGGTCGAATATAGGTATTACTCTGTAGTGTGCTGCTTGTAAATCCGGACGCTGCTACTGTTGAACGTCACCACGTAATAACGTTTCTAGACAAATGCAGACAGCCGTTGCGAAGAAGAAAATACCGCCAAGGAAAATGTCGTTTTTTCTAAAGTGAAGTTCCATCGAGCGCTTGGGTTACCGGGCGCGTGACGCAGAACGCTGATTTGATATCGTAAGCGTACGGTTCTAAATGTACGCGTGAACGAGTGTCTATACAAATGTTTTTTTATTTGCTTTCTGCTTTAGCAAAGCAATCGTTGCCATTTTCGCTATTCCTCCTGAATAAAAATCAAGCCCAAATTAATCAAACGTTGTACATGATTTACTTCAACCCTAAAACGGTCTTCTATATATGTATGTGTGAAAACATTATAAGTGGGCTGATATAAAACAGGCCGAAGACGTAATGTGTTTTCGTAACGATGCACCTTATACTGGCGAATTAGGTTTTGCCTGCCTACTTTTAGGTACCGTATACGCAGCTTTTAATAATACAATACTCTGACAGCGAGTGCTCATTGATACTGTTGTCGGTATTATAAGAGTACATTGTAATTACACGTATTGCATTCTACAGAGCATTGAAGACGCTTTGTTGTATTTTATTTCAAACGCACTATCGAGTGCATCGAATAAGCGATGCGACGAGAGATTATTTCGAAAATCAAACATTGCCCTTGGGAAAGCTGCAAGAGCTTCAGCCTTTGTGGCTATGCAGACATGACTATGTAGAAAAGCTTATTCTTACGTTGATATAGAAATAGTTTAGCTATAAATTCTTGCTAGTTTTTCTAGCTAAAAACTTTTTCCAAGTGAAATCCTGCAGTATAATGAAGTGCCAAGGCCAATGGCGATAATCTATTGAACGAAGATTCCTTCAGTCCGCCGTTAGAGATAACGATCGCACTTGTTTATTCAGGCTCAAATTCTCTATCTAGGTCGACCGTGATTCGCAGGGGTCGATAATAAACCTGTTCTTACAGTTCGCCTTGAATGCTACATATATGTTTGTAACACCCACATACGGTTAAGTAAATCAGCGTCGTTACGTTTAATTCACATCTTTATTACACAACGTCAATAACATTGGATCCTCTTTGCTTATTTTAATTTTCATTTTATCCTTACCACCGATATTTCATAGATAGGAACCATTTGTTTATTAACTGACTCTTAGCTTTCAATAGCTCCCGTCATTCTCGCATAAAAAAAGCGGTCGCAAAAGTTTAAGAGCATTTTCGAAAGCTATATTGATGTTGCGTTTCATCTACCTTATGCAATTTTGTAGAACTATCGACATTGTTCTTGGCAGACAGGTGAATCTCCCCAAACCGTTTTCTGGTTAAAAGATTCATTATTCTTTATAGCTGCTTAGTTATTTTTTCGGTACCCATATAAAAAGCGTGATGCCGCGCGGCTCATGGCCCCGTTGCAATGTCCCAAAAGCCATGGCAGCCGGAAGCTGTCCGGCGCTTTTAAGCAAGACGAAAAGCGATGATCGACCAAGAGACTAAGCTTCAATACAGAAGAGCACATGCTGAGCTTCTGTGCAACTATAGAAAATTTAGGTGTATAGAAAAATAGCTAGTTACGAGAAGACACCTCCCCATATAAGACAGCTGACAGTATTTTCCATTTCTAGAAAATTTATAGCAGATTTTCTAAAAATTGGGGAAAAGCCTACTATGCCTACTGCTACTTTGTCTGCTAATCGCCTAAATGTAATCGAACTACTAAAAAATCCGGTTGAACTTATTCTTGAAAGTTTACGGCCGCAAAATCGTTGCTGTACGCCTCTACAGATCCCTTTCAATGAAAGCATCAGGCCGCCAGACCCAAAGTCTTTCTTTCATGCCCATTTTAAACGAGAGTAATATTATCATTCGATTGAAATGTATCTATTTTTACATACAACTATGTAATTGAAGAATACATAACTAAAATGGTGGCATTCAGTGTAATTAATCAATGTAACATCAAATAATATATAAATACTAAGAACCTGAAAGCAAATGAAGACGTATACCCTATCCTGCTGGCCCACGCGTACCGATCTACCCATTCCTGTTAGAAAAGCAAGACATTTCAACTGATATGTATATGGCAAGCGAATCTTCTATTTCAATAGTCGCATTGATTTACAGCGAGAGATAAACCAAGAAATAGAGAAAAATATTGTTTTGTAATTAGTAAATTAGGCGCGTTTAAGCTTATCATTACAATGAAGCAGAGATAGCATAACAAGTGTATCACTTTACGAGCTATTTAATTAGAGAACCTCATCTCATTTAGATAGCTTCAGTAAAAATTCTATAAATTGTCTATTTTTTTCTAAGTAATTCGATGTGCCGTTACGCGGTGTACAGAGTACGCCAAATGTGTACGAAGACTAATCTCGAATAACGTTGTTTTCTCGTGATCCAGTCCTCCACAATTGCAACTCTCTGCTGTATCTTGCCGAAAAAGCACAGCCCTAACTGAACGACAATAAAGTTGCAAATCAAATCGGCCTAGTGAAGGCGGTCTATGTTGGCTCGATGATTCTCACGAACGTTTACTGTTAGTACATGGACCTTAGGATAAAATGGCAACGATATTTAACTGGAAAAACCCGCAGGCTTTACCTCACCTTTGCTGCGTCCATCGTCGCCAGCTTTGTCGTTGAAAAGGCTGCCAGCACATTCGAACAACAGCAACAGCAGCGGCAATAGTTTGACGCAAATAAGACTGATCGCAGGACAGGAGTGAAGCAGGCACGATAGGAGAAAGTCTGCCATCGTGCTCTATTGTCCTTACTCAGCATGCAACCATTAACTACTGCAAGAGCGTCTAACCGCTAAACTGTTGAATTGCGATCCCGCAAACATGATAATCGAGGGTAAAGGGATCCCTAATTTTAAGTTGGCATAGGTTTTCTGTAGTCAGGAGTGAGAAAGGGTTGCGGGACAAACACTACGATCACAGATTCTCTTGATATAGTACAGCTTAATTTTTCATTTACGTCACAAAATTTTAACATCGCAAAAAATGAAAAGATCAATAGTGCATGATAGTATAAGGAAATACTGTAAAAGCTAACTTTAATTTATACCTGTCATCAAGGCAGACGTATTGCGTTGCTTGAGAAATTTTAACAAAGCATTATGGCCACATGTGTAACCATACGGCCTATTCCCTATACCTATGCTAACAACAGAGCAGTACCTGATTTTTTACCTTCTAGCGCTACGGATACATATTAGCTATTTAACTAATTCGCCAAGTTTTATGCAGGCACATTTTTTAAGGGTTCCCTTCCACAGCAACGAATATCATGCTCCATATACTCTACATATTATTTATCAAATGACTATTTGTATGACTCGTTCTAAGTCGCACGTCATAATAATATTTTTACTAAAATTTTAGGATATTATATTCTGAATTGGAAGAAAGCAGATAGCAACGAAGTGAGTGACGAGTAGTAGTCCGGTTTCCTTGTCACTTTTTTTGTAACTTAGCAATAATATAGTAGCAGTAAATAAGAAGATCACATATCAGAGCGCGTCTAATAGGTCTTGGCATGAATTGACAGAGTGAAGCTTAGCATGTGCCAAATCGGGCGAAAAATTACGTCTTCGCTGAATTCAAACGTATAAAAACACTATTATAAACGAATGATCTATAATTATAAATTCGAAGAATTATAATTTTATAATTGAAGTGACTTCCGCAAACGTTTGCGGATAATGGATCCATTGTTAGAGTTATAGTGAGCTACGGTTAGCATCGTTTAAGCGAAATTAGCTGTCAGTCAATTTGTGACTATTTCTGTCTTTTGTGGTGTGCAGATTTACGTATTCCTCTGGTTTTGGATGTGTGCTCTTCTGGCGCTCACAACGTGCACGATACTCTATCGCCTCGTGCAGCTCTTCAGCGGAAGAGTTTTCCGCGCACGACTCGTCAGGTGGCGTTTCTATTATGTGCCAGATGTACTAACGGTAAGCTTTGATGCTACTCTAGCTATATTCATTTGCTTCCGCCCATAGTTTCATATTGGTAACCAACAATAATGTGCGTAGTACATTAGATGTCAACCAAACGTGATCTTATAATCATCATGTATGTGCTTTGGCCTTTTCCAGGCAGCGCAGGATTGTACAGCAGGGCAGTGCTTCATTCTCTACATGCTCGGTAGAAATATGGAAACGGTAACATTCTCCGAAATGCTACAAGAATTAAAGCGATTGCAAAAAAAGGCGCCGGACTATACACTTGTCAGAACTGACGAAAATCTATGAAGAAAAAAACCAAACGTCAAATAAGCCAGACAGAGCGAGTCTGACTTAAAGTTAGAATTAGAATGTAAGCTGAATTTACTTCATAGTTATTACTACCTAGTGATATGATTGTTTTTAAACAAGTTTAATTAAAAAAGCGCAGCTTTAAACAAAACCATTGTGTTAAATTACGTTAGTATTTTGCACGTTAACGTGGAAGCCATAAGGCCTTTATCTGTTGCTACTGCTCGAATTTGAATGGGCCGTTCGTAGCCTCAGCTGGCCAATGGATACAGTCTGCTGTTAGTCAAGTTGAGGAAACATACAATGAGGAACACATCAGTTTCTCATATACACATGAGAAATACATGTGTATATGAGAAACTGATGCGAGTATTTCGTAAGCTTAGCAATATAAAATTAGTGAAGTACAAAAAATATCTTCGGCAAAATCGTGAGCACCTTTGTGGGATGTGTAGATCTTGTGTAAGTTGATTACGATAAGGATCGACTATAGAACCATCAATCTTTGGTGGAACGAGCCCTGTAGACGCTTCGAGGATAGATAAGGTACGGTATTAGTAAAATTATAAGGCAACTACATATAGGAATAATTAGTAAGGGGCAATTATCGTGAGCCTGAGGAAAGACTATTCCGATCCGACTTTAGAAGAGGTCTTAAAGTTCTAACTTGTTAATTAGTAGGAAATTTTTGGCTTATTATTATCACTGGTAATACGATTTCATGTGCTTGTCGATTAATGGTCTCGCTCAACAGCAGTACGAAGATAGCATTAATTTCTCTATCTGTCTATCCACTGAAGTTGAATGAACTTGATCATCATTCTTAACTTTTTACTGATATCGTATAGGTGTGTCTATTGGTTATAGCTAAAGACATTTGAAGGTAGCATATAGACGGGGCGGACACCCCCAGAGTGAAACGGTACGAATTTGGCCGATTGTTTCATAGAGCTACCATTGCGGGTGGCGCGGACTTACCGAGAAAATGTTCTGTTATTCATAAGTCGTAGTGGAAAACGCCGCTTTCAACATAGTGTCAATAAAATTGGAGCTATATGTATATTAGAACAGTGGAACTATGTTCAAACCGGTAAACCATCACAGCTAAGTCGTTTGAAATCGTGCGTAACCTCTGGAAGAGTAATTGGCAATTTACTCTTGCCATGTTGGGTATTCATATGGGCCCAGTACGTTGCCAAGAACCGTGTTAGGAAAATTACGAGATATAAATGAAGCTGCCCATCTGAAACTGAGCAACAATTACGAAGTGTATACCCCTCGAATAAAAATCGATGAGCATTAGATATAGAAGTGTCCTCTCGAATAGGCTATCTAAATTGCACATCGACGAAAATATTAAAAAAAAATAATTTTTCTTCTCTTAAATTAAAAAAACAGCAAACCAGGTAGGGTCTCTAAGCTGATGATAGCAGTGTTATATTAGTAAACCGGACCAGGTTCAGATGTTCGGCAAATAGGAACAGAAAGTATTCATCCGTCGGCAGTGCGGCTACAGAGCACTGGAGGGCTAAAGTCTGTTGGGAAATAGGAGATTTTTCGGATAGCAAAGTTTACAGGTCAATTATGCATCCGTAATCTGAGCTAATGTTCTCGCAGAACTTCAACGGGTCAGCTGTACAACGGTACAGCGACCTGCAGTCTTAACCATGAATTAAGCTGCATTCCTACATACTTTTAAAGTATATTACTATTCTGATTGTAATATGGATTGTGGCTCAGTCGTGAGGGATAAACATCACTTCCTCAATAGTGGTGTAATATAAGATATCGTATCTCCGTGCCACATATCTAAATACGTTAGAAGAATCAACAGATTATATACGTACTGATTGCGGAGGCTGGTCATCGTAATATAAGGGACGTTTTCTTGTAGCAACTTTTCAACAAGTGGCTCAAGAAGTTCGCTTTTCCTTAGCGTCTACTAGTCAACTAAAACAGACGACCTTACTGGTTTTTCAGTCTGTTCTGGATAGGCTTACCGCGCGGACTGGTTTCCCAGCAGCGACCGTCAGCGCCAGCGATAGATTGAGATGTCCTCGCGAAATCTTTTTTTAGGTATAGTTCAACCATCGGAAACCTCAACAGCCTGGTGTCTCGTCTGTCGACCACAGCGGGTGCTCTGGGACGCAATCCACAGGTGCCTCTCTCCCTCGTCCTGCCCTTGCCCAAACACGGCGGGCCCTTGAGGGACTCCGGGCCATTCTTGGTGTACTCGCCGATACGATGCAAGCTCCATTGGTTTGTTCCTCAGCTGCTCAGTTTTGAGTTTGGACCGGCAGCTTAGTTTCTCCTGCTCGCTCGGCAGCCTTCGCTTCGTCTAAGTTATCCTATTACTCTCAATATCATTTTCTCGGTTAGCTTAAGAGCGATCCCGCTAGCACGCTGTAAGCAAGGTAGGCATCGCATGTCTTCAACCTTGCCGTAAAAATGCAGGATAAGAAAATTAGGGTAGCGTCGAACCAACAATTCTCTTGCCAGGTTACGGACTTCGATTCGTCAAATGCAGCAACAGCGACTGCTATGACAACTTTTGGAAAATTCCTTTACAGTTACTAAGCTATGCAGAGATCATGTAAAAGGAAGGCGGTGTGCAGGTATAGTTAAGGTTACATATAGTAGCACAAGTTCTCAAACTTCTTCCAGTACTAAAAGCCTATTTCCTGGCTCAACTGTTGTTGTTGTTGTAGTATCGTTTCCGGATCTTCATCGGTGCCTCAGGACCAGTTAATGATACTTGTTGTGAACCCTTTTCCAAGAAGAAACAATACTGTTTACAATCATCGTGAATTATCATCTCCGATCATTGTCAACGGGACAGAAACAACTAGCAATACGTTTACTTTTTCGAAAGTGGGTTTGACGACACCTGGAGCTAACCTCCGAAGCTACCATATTGGGTGCGTGTGGCGTAGTGAAAGTGAATGCTATTCTATTCATTTAAAAGCAGAGAAAAGCCGCTCTTCAGTGAAATCGCCGAGAGCATCTTTTAATACAGATTAAATCGCTTAGCTCGATAACGAACAGTCCCGAAAGATCATCGCACAAATAAGGTAGACAGCAAAAGGGGGTGTATACAGTCAACAGATGCTGAAATTAACGGGACTAACCAATTCCCCAATCACAATTAGAAACGCCATTTTCTGTCAAATCGAATAAAGCTGTATAAAACATTGTTCAAGCCACTCACGCTACCGAGTACTGCAGCTACTACCCCAGATTACTATAGTAGCTTCAAAAGAGAAAAATTAGAGACGATTAGGGTCAATGCGTCCCTTCTTAGTCCAGTTTCAACAAACGCGCGCTATATCAAGCAGTAATCCAGTGTGAGCTAGAGATTCTCATGCCGTCGTACTGGAGTACTCTCGAATCAGGTAAGAGCGCTCATCATTAGTACTCAAATTTATAAGCGATGCACAGAAGTGTTCTTTCCCTTAATACGAATACATCTCTTGGAACGCTGAAGCTCCCGTTAATTTTTGACTGTAGGTGCCAAATGTTCATAATAGCAAAAAAGATCGATACCACATGCAGGACTGCTAGTTGGTAGTATTGCGTGTAAGGACTAGAAGGCAGTCAATCAAAGCCAGGAAGAATAACAGCATAAGACCTGCTTTGTTTTTTCGTAGTTTGATAAAGTAACGTCAAAGTTTATTTTTGCTATAATAAAATGGGCAACAACGAAATAACATTTGCCTCGCTGAAGGCGTAAACTACAGGAAGTGCTGAAAAAACAACAAAAGCATACATTCAAATAAGCTACGATGAATAGCTCTACTGGTTGCATCGTTGCTGTTAAGTTGGATATGATCTTAAACGCGCTACAGCCAGCTTTGCCTTTTCCCCTCTAAGTTTTTATACAAATAACTAAGCGAATGCTGGTTCTATCTTGGCCGACCGACGCTAATGTATGGATCTTTAATAGTTTCTGCACAATATGTAGCACCTATATACATGCTCGTGTATATCGTATTAGCACATGAGATATACAGCAGCACGCAATGACTTCACTCCTCAGCCCGGTTCCAGCACAAACATTTCGCAATTTTTATGGACTACACATAAGGCCAGAAAGGTACCAAACTTCCATTCGACATTAGGGGCAATGAGCTTGCGATACGCTGCCGAACCCAGGCTGCTTATGCACTTTCGAAAAGAGCCGCAGGCTTATTACTAGCCAGTTAACCAGCCCGGTTACTAGGTGCTATGGGTCAAACATGGGTGAGAGATTAGAGTGGGAATAGCGATCGCTAGTAATCCTGTCGCTCCTGCTGAAGCTCTTATGAAGCCCGTAGTGTAATGGACATTTGCGAAAACTTGAAAAGTTCAAATGATGCATATTTACGGATGTCGCGGCACACAGTACGCGTAAACGAACATATAGTATAGCAATAAACTTTATCTATCGGGAAATGTTTAAGCAAGCATCTCTCAGGTAGGCAAAATTGGACACCTGCACATTTATAGTACATGATCATGTGGTTAGCAATAAAAATGCTATTACGTGTCTTCAGGAAAACTCCAAAATCGTTCCTAAATATCATACAACGTATATTGATGGTAGCGTAACTGACTATAGTGAAGTCCAGCTATCTCTTTTCTGACTGCCATTGCACTTGCACCTCCCGGAAGGAGACTAGTTGTATTCGAAACGAGCACGACATTGTTCCTGTTCATCCAACGAGGCAGCGGGTCTCGTTAACTGTGAGTATCCCGTAGCAACAAGCCAATAACATGTTGAGCCGCTAGGGCTTCGAGGCGACGCTTAACTCACCGCCGTAGCTACTGCTGGTAGCAAGTGTCGCCCCCTCGTATAACTTCCCTTACCTGTTAGTGTCTCAGCAATTGTACATAACTGGACTGGTAAATAGTTTTTTTCTTTTTTTTATTGCTTATTGGTGCGCAGCATTTGGTTCCATCAAGCCTATTGAATCATGCATGTAGGCGGCTGTGATCGATCGTAGCGTGTCTCTATGGGGGATTTTTTTATTAGCCGATTGCTTTCCGATGCCAATATGATTAACAGTTCTTCGAGCCAGAGACAAGCGTGCCGTGTGATGAGGCGTCAGCTGGATAGGTGGGAAATCAACGGATAAATTTATGCTAGGTACATGTTGAAAGATTACAATCAAAATGTTCCGCTATATAAAATGCTCATGACAACAAAAATGCCTTTATGTAATACTGGCTTCAGCTTAGCAGAGCGGTACATACGCCGTGTACATAACCCTATGCTAAATAATGGAAATTACATAAAGTTGACCGTACGTCAACTAAGTAACTAAATCTATATCAAGTCGATAAAGCCAATATAGATAAATCAAGCGTGACTTCAAAAACGCACTACTTTTTTTTTGTTATAGCTCTACAGTATATTGTGTAAAGGACTAGTCAGACTAGGTCTATGATGCTACAGGATCATTGTTGAACTCAGAGCAGGGTTGGAGCAAGGTACCTTTCTATTGTATTTGATTGGCCCGCCTCTAAAGCCCAGCACCATGATGAACTTTATAGTGCCTCCTATATAATTAAGGCACATGACGCCGAACTGTTCATATATGCTTATTATTCGTAATCCCTATCGAAACAAAGTTTTATATCATAATGCTGTATTATGTAAGAGAGTCGATACTTCGATCGAAATCGATACGAAAATCTGTGCTTCAAATACATGGAATCATTGAATAACCCACGCAGGCATACGTACACGCAGATTTCTGTGTGTAATTGTTTGCAGTGCTTTTATAATTTTCGACCTCGTTGAAATCGTATATATGAAATTGGTTTATGACAGAAGAACAAAATCACAATAGAGGAAGAAAAATAGCAGCTAGAGACAGATCATTCTATATGTGCCGAGTATACGTGTGTATATATTCGAGGAGCAGATCCTGTGCACTTGTCTCGACCTAAATATCAATAACCCTAGTGGTCCAGCTTCGGGACGGTCTTCGAACTAAGAACTTTGTTTGAACTTTATTACGATAAGTTACTTGCTGGTACCGGGCACTAGTCTTCCGACAAGATTGTAAATCGCACTACATATTGTTCATTCTTGATTGAGGTATAGAGTTAGATTTTTCACACTTACTCAGGTGGCAGCTGGACGAAAAAAAAAATGATGGTACCAAGTGCGCTGTGTTGATATCCCTTAACGGAAGTGGCTATACAACATAGAATAGTACATATATATAAACCCAGCTAAATT